CAGTCGCTGTAAATCTCCAGAGGGCCGCGTGTTTCCTCACGCGCGAGAGACGGGAGAAGCGCGAGTCTCTCGCGAGCGATTTTGCCATCCGTCGGCCGGAAATCCGCGGCATCTCGACGTGTCTCGTCTCTCCGATCGACGTTAGACAATATTCAACGATATTCGCGACAACTTATCGTGGTTGTCAATAAGCGACATTTTCCCCGATTCTCTCGTGAATGTTCGTAGAGTGACAAAAGAAAGAGAACGGAAGAAATGCCAAGAGGGATCGCACGTAAACTCAGTCCCGCGGACGCTTTACTATGAATAAGTTAATAATCTTTTAACAACGTTCTTTTAGTATCGACCTGTCGATGGTGGAGACATCCGTAGCACTGAGTGCATATCGGTTCTTCGAGTGTCTCGTTTTTCCTCCGTTTTTAAGCGTCTTTCGCCGTTTAACGAGAAGAGAGCACAGCGCGCAGTTACATGCAGAATTTTCGCCTCGCAGTTTGCCGAGCTCCTTTTTTCCTCCCTCTCCCTCTTCTCTTTCCCGCACCGTCGTCGTCGACGTCGAAAACTTCTCGACGAGAAAATGACGCGTTTTCCGCCGCGGCTGAAGCCATTCCGCGCGCGGAACAGCAGCAACGGCAGTCGCCGCGCCGCCGCCGCCGCCGCCGCCGCCGCCGCCGCGGCGGCGTCAAGCTGCGGCGCGGATGCGAATTTTTCACCCGAACTCAAGAGTTCGTCGACGAACGACGTTTAACGATCCGGAAACGTTGTAAGTGTGGGGATTAAAGCGTGTATTCGTGCACGCGGCGGCGGCAGCGGCGGCACTTTCCTTCCTTCTCCAGCCATTCGCACGCCCTTCGGAATGACACGTTGGGAACGGAGCCAAGCCGATTCTAGAACGTTGTCGTCTATATAGCCACTCCCAAATGGGAATACTTCTCCTAGGTTTTAATTTAAGTTTGAATTTCAAGGAAAATAATTATCCGGCCGAATAGCGTGAAACACAGTAGGAGGGCTCGCATGTTTCGGATTAGCGTCTACGTGTGTGTATGTGTGTACCTCCCCAATACATTGAGATATTAAGAGAATCGTCCGTGCAAACTGGACGAGGAATTTTGTTACAGCGCGAGTAAAGGGACAAGACTTTTCAAACAATCGAATTTACGACAGAATTCGGATATATCCGAGGAGAATTTAAAATTTTATTCCCCTCCGTCTTTTGAGCAGTTTTAATCTTTTTTGAGATTTAACGTTTCATTTCACGTCAATTTAACATCACTTTAACGTTTCATGTTAATGAATGTTAATGAATTTATCAGTACAAATTAACGTCCTACATCGCTTCTTAAGACATGTTGAAAAAGAAAACAGAATTAATATCTCTTACTCTCTTTTTCCAAAATACTCCAATTTACTCTTTCTTCCTTCTCAAGTAAAAAAGAGAGTATACACAAATAAGAATAAATATAAGAAAATGAGAGAAACAATTCGGAAGGAAGTCCTACACTGATAGAAAAATAAAGTTGAATTAACTATAATCTCACTATATTTCATAGTTAATTTTGATGTCAACCATATTTTTATAGTTCGCAGAAACCTGCAAAATATAGTAGGATAAACACGAATATGTAGTCAATGATTGTCTTAAATAATTGTTTAGTTACCTTTATCACATATATGGTAATTTCTCATTCACAAATGTAGTGAGACTTAATATTCATATAGTTACATCTGTCGTCATTTAGCAAATATTCTGGTAATATAGACTATATAAAAGAGTTACTTTTACCTACCATTTTATATTTGCATCTATACAATAATTTTCTTAGTAAAAATATTATATGGCTGGTTTTACTATGCCTATATCGTAATTATTACCGATATTATGGTAATACTCACTAATAAATATGATATTTCAGACTTATAGATAATTTAGTTACTATATCATTATAGTTCCAAACATCATATACTTTTCTCTCAGTGTACGTTTACAGAAACTTATTCTTCCTCTTGAAGAAAATCAGTATAGCTCTGCACATCTACGAATCTCCGCAGATCTCCCTCGTCCTACGTGTCCTGCGCTCGAATTAGATGCCTGTCCCGGATTTTTTCGCCGGACATCGCGCCGGACATCACTCAAAGTATTGCGAGAGAAGGGCCCATGCTGCCCGTGCTGCCAGCCTGCAACAAAGCTCTCGCTAAGGAACGTCCCCGCGACTTGGGCGAAACAAATCCGCTGTGAAAAGCGCGCTCGGCGCGTAAGCCGCGCGTAATCGGCGAGGAGCGTGATCGATTCGCCGACTGGCCCGGCGAATTCGTGCACGCGTGCATCCGCTCGTGAAATACGCTCGTCCGTGCGCGGCTCTGCCTAGGCCCCATCATTCACGTTAATTCCACTTAAGCACCGATGCACCTGGCTCGCGGAGAGCTCCACGCGACGAGTGCCTCGCGCTCGCGTACGGGCATGAGCGCGAGCGCACTCGCGAGAGCGGGGGAGGGGGAGGGGGGGGGGCACTCGGCAAAAATGAAGAGACGAATGCCATGCGAACCGAGCGTTCAAAGTGCTGCACAAGGCCACCTTATGCGGCGGCACACAGTGGAACCGACGGGCGCTCGACGGGCGAATGAACGAGTACTGATGTGTGCGTACCGTAGGAACCTGCGAGACGAATGGCCCGCCGTGCAAAATTGCCCCGCGACTTCTTCGGCGGAGTCGTCCGTATCCGCGAGCTCCCCCGCGCGAAAGCGAGCGAGGATCGACGCACGCGAGCGCTCTCGGCGCTCTAATTTCCCGTCTAATTTTCGCCCGGCCGATGTGCGCCGATATACGCCGCGATACAGCGAATCTAAAACACGAGGGATGGAGGGAGGGGGATATTTTCCTGCGTGGTCTCGCGGACACGCAGACGGCCGCTGCGGGGAAACGTTATCTCGCGCGAGCCAAGCATGAATGTTGCATTAGAGGCATGCTCATGGGCGCAGGCGCGTTGCCGTGAGGCGAGATTATCCTCGGGGCCTAATGATTAATTGTACGTCGCGATTGATCTAATCGCCGGCCTAGAAACGAATACCGTGTCGCGGACACAATCGAGCGGGCGGGCGGGCGAGCGAGCGAGCGAGCGACGGGCGCGGGCCGGTTAGAGGTCGGCTGCACTCTATGACCTTAATTACTGTGTCGACTAATCGATCGCGCGCATTGTGATCGTGCTGTATCTGACACGGGTACTGGCATACGTAGCCGCTTCACGCTGAATGGTGTCTTAATTGCCGGCCGGATAATCCGATTCAGCCACTTGATCGATTATGCCCGTCTATGGAGCCGTCGCCGATCGTATTCGCGAATTCTAATTGGGATCGGCTATCCATCCGACAGCGCTCAGCGATCGAAGGGTCTCTGTTTCTCCCTGTTCCCCGTTCTCCTCCCCCTCTCGTCTCTCGCTCACTCTCCCTTTCTCTTTTTGTTCGGATGATTATACACGCACGAGCGGACGCTGCGCATTGCGTTTCTCTTGAAACGGGGACAGCGATATCACGATGTCGGGCAAAAAGTCGCGGCGGAAAGTAAGCGGTCGACGAGCAATCGTTATTATAAAATTATAAAATATAACGATAGATTGTAAAAGTTAATAAATTATAAAGTTGTTACTATTATTATCACACGATCTATTTTCATTTCGGCGCTTTGCGATATCGCCTCGCTCTGTTGTCACTCGCCGCGATGAAACTATTATTATTGTTCAACATGAAATTTATCGACTCCTCTCGCGTTTCGCTACACGTATTCGATATATCGCACAAACTTGTGCGCCTCGTGAGATGCTTTACAAATTGTTTAATAAATTCAAGTCGATCCACGCCGAGAACCGGATCGCTTCGCCGTTCGGCCCGCCGTTTCCGCGCCCGTCCTCGTAGCCAACCGGAGTACCCACGCGATAAATTCGAGCCGCCGAGATCCACGATCGTCCGCGATCGCGAATGTAAAACGCACGTCGTCCATCCTCGCCGGATATTTTCGTCGCGCGGCCGAGGGAGGAGAGAGCAGTCCTCCCTAAAACCCGCCGGAGATAAGCATCGCGGAGCAGCGACCGGCGGTAGTCGGAGAGAAATCTCCCCTCCCCCCGAGCCTCCATCGTCGTTAATTAGCCAAAAAGTGAGGCCTCTCGTACGGCTCCCCTTGGACTTGGAGCAAGGGAGAGAGGGGGGGAGGAGGAAGACCCCCCTCGCTTTTCTTTCGTGCGCCGCGACGGCACCGCCGTGAATAAACTACATACAGTCCTTCCATTCCTCCCTCCCCGCCGGCCGTGCGAACCCCTTCGACTATCATCCGGTACGTATGAGCTTTTTTCTCCTCCCCCCTCTCTTTCTCTCTATCTCGTACGGGACAAGAGAGGAAAAAAGAAACGACCGAAGAGGCCGCCGCCCCATGGCGTCGTCCGCGGTGCTTCGAGGTTCTTTCTCTTCGTCCGCGATTTCCATCCACGAGTGCCGTCGGGGGCTCCTCCGTTCCTTTTTTCCGTCCAGCTTTCTCTCCCTCTCTCTCTCTCTCTCTCTCTCTCTCTCTCTCTCTCTCCCCCTCTCTCTCCCTCGCTATAGAACGGCGAACGGCCGATCCTAATCTCGATAATGACGCGTAATGGCTGCTGGCGTGAATGTAGCTCTTTGTCCATGGGCAGCTCCTGCACCGGTCGTATATCTGTCCGGCACGGGAACCGCGCCATTTCACCCCGACGAAAAGCACGGGGAGGCCGAAACGGCGGGGGCCGGTTCCCCCAGGCTTCTTTTTCTGCATCCTCCGCGTCGCGTCGCGTCGCGTCGCCCCCCTTCGCTCGCCCACCGCGCGCAGCAATCTCTACGGCTGGCAAGGCGCCTTCCCGGGAATCACTCTCTTAATCACCCTCTCTCCCTCTCTCTCTCTCTCTCTCTCCCTCTCTCTTTTTGTTCTATGCAACGTCAGTGCGAGACGCGTGTACATGTGTGTGTAAAATTTTTTTCAAACTTTATTTTCGCAGGAGCGGTTATGAGAGTTCGATGACCACCGGCGCGCGGACCATCGACGCTACCATGGACTACCTGCAGACGTGCCTCATCTTTTACCTGCTGATCCTCTGCTTCTGCGGCGGACGCTCTATAGACATATGTGAGTAGACGTGTCAATCCGACTTAAGGAGACTGGTCTCTCGCTCTCGAGGGAACCTTGCCCGGTGCCGTTACCTCCACGATCTCTCAATCGACCCTGATGACGGCCCGAGCGCCGGCGATCGCGCAGACGATCGACTAATAGCTAATTCTCCACACACGCGTATCTCGATTACCTGCAGATGTATTTTCGGCTGAGTAACAATCATCACTCACTCCGTAGAATGGCGCGGTCGACGGGTCGATTATCTCTCTTGAATAATTTGCCCACGTAGAAAGTATATTTTTTTTTTCTAAAGCCACGATGTGTTGACGAGCGATTATTAAAGATTTAAATAGCCATCGATATGATCGCGTTCAAGGAGGAAAATTATGTCACCGACACGTGACGAGTAAACAACACGCACGATACGAGGGTAGTCCCAGAAGTATCTGACCTGACGTATAGATAGCGGTTGTTGTTCGAAAAGAATGACTATGGTAGAAAGTACCAACCTAAAGGCCCATCTACAATGTAGGCTGTAGGAATAAGGTTTTGAGCGTAAGCAGTAAGAAATGACCAACCATAATCGATTATTGTAAGAATAATCGATTATGATTGGTCCATTTCTTACGGTACAACCTGCCCCCTCTTCCGAGTCCGAGAACGAAATTTGGGTCTCGCGGGGGAATTTCGATTAGATGTGATAAAAATACGTGTTTACATCTCTCGGCAATAATTCTGCCCCCAGAGGTGGTAGAACCGCGGGGGTGCACGTCCGTTCCATCTCCTTGCTCTCCCTGCCTCGTGGTTGCGCCCGATAAAAACAGCAAGGCACCCCGTAGCAAAAGCCTCCTTCTCTCGTGGAGAGAAAGAGAGCGAAGAAGAGCACGTACCGCATTGCCCTTTGGCGCGCATTAAACCTCCGGGCTCGGTTTCTACTCGGCTTGGTTTCCATCCCATTGACTCCGAGCAGCCCGAGCCACCCTCGTGTCAGGTAAACAGGGCGAGAAACTTGCAAAGTATCCGCCAAGAGTTCCCAAGTCAGCCCCGAGAAAGGCTTTTAGGTACTCGTTCGTGAAATCGAGCTCGAAACTTACGTATACGGGACGTATTTCGCACCCGAAGAATTTCTCGAGCGTCGTCGAAAGATGGATCTCGCGATAGCTTCTCTCTGTCTCTGTCTCTGTCCTCTCTCTCTCTCTCTCTCTCTCTCTCTCTCTCTCCCTCTCTCTCTCTTTCCGATTCTCTGCAATACCCTTGTCCCCCTTTTTCTGCGTCCCTCCCTCTCTTCCTCTCGGATGAGCGAGTATACACGCGAGTTGCATGCGCAACGTGTGGTGCGCGTCTACCGTGAAAACGCCGAGTTCCTTTCAAAAAGTAGACTTCAGGAGCGAACACGCTGAGGGAGGCGAGCAACCGCTTATAATCGCCAGCGACATCGCGACATTGTCGGTTGTTCACCGGCGGAAGTTGGCACGAAGCTCGGCTGCTGCAAGGATTCCACCGTGCAAAGCGAGTCAAAGGAGGTTCACGACGGATAACCGTCGCCGATGAGTCCTTGACAAACTTGCCGTCGATACAGCTATAAAGTACCTCCTCCTCTCCCCCCCTTCCCTCTCTCTCTCTCTCTCTCTCTCTCTCTCTCTCGCAACGCGTCAACGCGCGCAGGATAATCGGCTTACGCTCTAAGTACATGCATATCCGCGCGAGACGGCCATTACGAGTGCTCGCACGAATTCGGCAAAGTCGCGAACGCGCATTGCCTTCCTCCGACTCTTCGGGCCCGATCGAGCGGGGGTGCCGCCGCGCGGTGCGCTCATAGTTCGACCTCAAAAGCCGACACTCCGCTGCGTCGCCGTGCCCTTTGATCCGCCGTTCGCGGCGTAGCGGAGTAACTGCGAACACCGCGGCGTACCCCGGCCGGTACGCTCGTTATAATCCCCGGCAGCGACTACGTGGCGCGGTTCCCTAATTAAATCCCACCTGGCTATCAAAACAGCCCGACGTAATACCTCGAAATAACAAGCTCTCGGAATCGCGCCGATCCGGCGCGACGAGATTACCTGTCGGAAAGAAACCTGGCCTGCCTCACCCCCGTCGTCCGGAATCCGGCATGCGCGCGCTTCTCGCCGGCACAGCCGAGAGTGACGATCCGCCGATTTACCCTCGAGATACCATCAGCACCCATCGGATCCAGTTTTTTAGCTGTTGAGTTTCCCCCTCTCGAGCGATTTCAGTTCTCGCGCCTTTTCAATAGGAAAAGCTTCCTTCTCTCTCGTTGCACGGTTTTGCTTTGACATTTGGGACTTTGCGGGGGCGAACGAATACCGTTTGACCCCGGGCCCGAGGGAAGCCGAGGGAAAATATGAATTTTTAACTGTTCGCACAACCGTATTCAGGAAAGATGTTAGTCTTTTGGATACAAGAAACTACAAAAAGTTGAATTTTAATTTAGAATGGAAAGTATAAGAGAGACTACAGGAAACTTGATTGGAATGGGATTGGAACTTAATTTTAAGGCAAAGTTTTAATATCTATTGATCCTTTGAAGCACGAATTTTTCTGTGCAATAATAAAAGAAACTGATTATGTGTATAGAGATCTTCTGGGTCGCTGATTACGAATCCAGAGTCTGAACTTTAAAATTCACAATGGCGGATTCAATATGGCGACTTCAAATGGCTAACTTTGACACGATATTATGGAATTGAAAAATTTTGGAAATTTTTATCCGCCATTATATCCGCCATCCATATTGGATCCACCATCTTGAATTTCGGAAATCTAATAACAAAATCGTTATCAGCTACCCAAAAAACCCCATGTACCTATTTCTGTCGAAATCGAAGAATTTTGAAAATTTTTATCCGCCATATTGGGATCCGTCATTTTGAATTTCGAAATTCTGACCCCGGATTCGTAATTGGCGACCTCGAAAGCGACCTAGGGTATCAATGATCATCCATAACAGCTATAACTGTTCTCTCTGACCCGAATTTTTTGTACAAAAAACATACTTAATAACATAATACTCGAACGAAAATCCAAAAAACAGCAAGAAAGTCGAATGTTTTACACCTGAAAAACGTGAATAATAAAATGAAACAAAAAAGGTGAAACACTCCAGAGTGCCGCTGTGCTCCAAAGCGGCACTTAACTGTTAATTTTCTAGCTGTTAACAGTTTTGTATTTCTTATAACGTAACTGTTGACAATTGCAGAAAAAGCTGCAGAAAAAATTGCAGGAAACCCACTTGCGAGAATGGGTATCACGCGACTGTTATTCTCTCGAAAGATTTTCCAAAGGACCAAAGAAATTTAATCATCTCACCCTGACGGTAGGTATATCGAGCATTAGATCACTTCGATCGACGCGTCAGGCTCTCGCAAACGCGAGTGTCCTCTCATTCACACCGTGGAAGCTCACCTCGCGGCCGCGCGAGCTTCCACGGGAAAGCGCGTTCGCGAAGATCTACTAAAGTTCGCCGTCCCTGGAAGAAATTCTCGGCCGTAGGCGGTGATCGCTGCGGACGTCGACGGGCAACGTCGAAATATATAAATAGCCAGGCGGACGAGAGAGCTCTCTAGAAGGCGGCCGAAAAGGGAGACGATTGCCAGCCCGATCTCCCTCCGCGGTGACCGAACTTGTACATACATCGGGACTGCGTCGGTGAATTCGCGGTCGTGTTAAGCGACGAGCCGGCCGGCCGACCGCTCGCTCGCTCATGGCGAAGGCTGGAGGGCCGACCGGTTAAAGCGCGCATAAATTGCGATGTTAATGTTACCGGCAATACATAAACATGTTGCACGTCGGTCGAATTGTGGCGTCGCGCCGCGTTACGCTGCGCTGCGCAACCCTCGTGTGCGCGCGCGCGCGCGCGCGCACGAGCCGAAGGGGTGTGTTTGCTTTCGTATGTCCGAGGGCGAGAGTAAGCGACGCGTGCCCTCCCCCCTCCGGAACCCGGGGAGAACACTGTGCTTTGCGCGCGCGCGTGTGTGTGTGTGTGTGTTGCGTACTTAATTGCGAAACGCGAGGCCGCTCTCGTGTGCGTGCGTTCGTGCGCGCGTTACAGTCGCGCGCGAGCGATAGGTAATTGTACGGATGTGTCATCCGGCGGGGACGGGTGTATCTGACGTAGCGAAATTTAACGCACGCGACGCACGCGACGCACGAGGGACCGGCGCGATCGCTTTTTCCGCGTTCCGCGCGGGTCGACGGCGGGTCGACACGATGACGCGGCTGGGGGCAGCGTGGATGCGAAGTTACTTTTTGCGGCACATCTATATGGCGTATCTGTATTGTCATCTTCCTGTTCCAGAATGCTAGGAGAGAAAATTATCTCCCGTGTGTCAAGAATGATTTTCCGCGTCTCGGCGAACGATTTCGTTTTCTGACATCTGCTGATGCGGTAAATTTCGCGGCGATTTAAACGCGCACTAATGAAACTGCGAATGTGTAAAAGCACATTAAACAAAGGGGATTTATTGCATCAATTTTAATAACCTTTTTTTAAACGTGCGTCTATTTATTATCTCCCGTCGTAGTGTTAAAATACCGAGAAATAAACATCACACGCGATTGGAATTATAATAAGGGAACGTTTCTTCAGAGACACCTTTGCGAATCTTTTCCGTGAAAATCGCCGCGCAGGAGCGCACAGATACAGGTACAACAATAATCATAATAATAATACGCGGCTGCGGATATGTCGACGCACGGCTGTCACGCCGGATAAATAACGAACGCGATCTCAGTCGCGATTATGCGCGAATGCGTTAATTCGTCGTGTTGATAACTATAAACTGACGTGTATGCGCGCCAACTGACAAAGCGAACGTGCGCGCTTGCGTGTGTCTCGTCGACGCGCACGGATCGAAAGCGGCGCATAGACGGTGGAAATGGCGGAGGGTAAGAGAAGAGGCGTCACGCGAGAACGAGAGAATCCTTCCGCCGTTATGACGTTGTCATCCCTCCGTTACACCAACTCACTCCCTCCCTCCCTCCCTCCCCGCAACGAA